GGCTCCTGTACCATGAATTCACCACAGCCATGGTTACCTGCACAAGATCAAGCTACTCCAGCACAGAGCAGGTACAGGTTCATGAAGCCTCACCTCTCCTTGAGGAACTGTCACCAGGTGACGGCTGCTGAGGAAGGAGCATCATTTTGTGGGAGTGTGACAACTGACAGGTTGCCTGTGCTCCAGTAGCTGTCCCACCTCCACACACGTATGAGCGTCACTAATTGGACATAGTAGGCTAATCAAAAAAAATCAATGTAAAAAGGATATGAAGTAGTTTGGTGCTGTGTTTGGGGTACCAGAAGGAGTTGGAAATTGAGAGTAGGGATAGATAGGCTTTAAAAAGTATGTGTTGGACCCAAAGATCCAAAACCAGGAGACACACTCCCACAGAAACACTCACAGACAGGGGATTTACTGCAATAACATGAGGCTTAATGATAACCGGTGCACCGGGGTTCTCTCGAACGCAGGCAAGAAGAACCCCGAACCAAAGCTGGGAGCAGTTTTTATACAGAGTTTATGAGGGCATCCAGAAAGGCTGACCTTCCCAGGTCCGGTCTCTAGGTGACTCAGATTTGCACATTATTTTTATGACAATAAGTATCCTCTGTTTACCCAAGTTTATTACATTAAAGGCTCAGCTTCCTGACTGCCTCCCATCCTGGGCCCCTCTCCTGGAATGTGTCTACATGCCCTGGGCCTTCCTCACCGCAGGGGGTTCCCTCCCCTGTGGTCTGAGGAATGTTAATCAGCCTCTCCCTTCTTCCTCTGAATGTTAATCCAGCAAGTGTCCTCTGACTTAGGAATGTGCTCCTCCCAGAATGCACCCCGGGACAGTGAATTCTAAGTTCAAACTGAGACCTGAATTTCCCACAATGCATGTATGACATTCTGAAGAAAAATATAAAATGACTAGAATATAGTAAGACACAATGAATACCATACAATTTAGCAATCTTAAATGTGTGATTCGGTGGTAGTAAGTACATTTATTCTGTTTTACAGCCACCACCATCCACCTCCAGAATTCTTCCAGTTTCTCAAATGGAAGCCTGGGATGGCAGTCTCCCGCTGTGGCTGACCTCATACCTGTGGTTGCCCTACCCCATCCATGCCCCTTTGCCAATAGTCTCTTAACTAAGATATTCTCATATCCTCAGCTGGAGTGTGGCATTGCTCTGCTGTCAGGCTTGGGTATGAGAGTTCTGAGAGGGGTTGGCTAAACAGAGTATATATCTTCATCACACATCAGAAACAGAAGCAAGGGGACCATATAACTCTACTCCCAAGATAATTAAAACATAAAAGGCTCCAGACATGACTTCAGACAGACATGGGGATCCAGGACTGGTGAAGAAGCCAAGTTGAACAGAACAAGTAGGGACTAGCAGGCTGGAGAGATTCAGGAGAAGCTGCTGTGGACCTGGGTGGAGGAGGCACAGGAGCCCAGCTTTACTCCATAACCCAATGGAACAATTTGTCCCCAGAGGAGATACTGTCACTAACTTTTGGATAACATATTTAATTTACTTGGGCAGAGGCTGAGAAGAATCTCCCTAAAATGGAACTATGTGGGTCAGCAGCAAGGCTGGTGTTCATGTAGGAGGCTGTTGCAACTTGTCCCCTACTAGAGCCCTGCGGCCCTGCTGAGTGACATGGCTCCTGTGTGAGTAGTGTGACTGAGTGGATTTACTCTGCTGGTTTGCCTGCCATCACAAAGCAGCCTGAGAGTATAAAAGGCAGAATGGACAGCAGTGAGGTATCCAATTTGTGACTGGGAGCTAAGGGAAGAGGAGAAGGCACAGGACAGCAGGGATGTTCTCTCTCTTCAGTGGGGTGGCTTTCCTGGCTGGCTCCTTCCTGTTCTTGAAGCTTGCCACCTTGTTCTGGAAAAGGAGCCACCTTCCTCCCGGCCCATTTCCTTTCCCCCTCCTTGGGAATTTATGGCAACTAAACTTTCAGCTACACCCAAATACGCTGTTCCAGGTATGGAGTAGGGCCTCAACTGTGATTCCCTAAAAGGATAGACCAAAAGAACTCTGTCCTCCCAGACTAGGGACCTTGGAAAGTGAAGCAAGAATTAGGGCGATAGGTTGGAACGGGGAGGTTCTGATCTTGTCATGTGCCAGTTCGGAAGCTTTGAGCCTCAGTTACTGCACCTGACAAATGCTTGTCAAAATGGAGTATAAAGACTGGGTGGGAAGTGGGGTGGGAGAATGGGGGACTCAGGCACTGCACGGGAAGCACATCCAAGGAAACTGTGGCTGTTTATATCACACAATACTAGAACATGCCCATTCCCAGGATTGCTGGGGTGTGAATGGTCAGCCCCGATTTCTTCTAAATGAACTCTGTGACCCTGGGCTGGATTCAAGGAGTTGGTAGGTACTCCGAAGACGTATACCAAAAACTGAGTGTTGGATGCAGGAAGGTAGGCATTCATACTCAGAGGGTAATCACACACGTGAGCTGGGGATCCATTCATGTAGAGCTATGGAATACCTGGTGTCTCCACAGCTGGCTCAGACTCACGGCAGTGTGTTTACGTTGTGGTTGGGCTCTACACCCATTGTGGTGCTGAGCGGCTTCCGGGCAGTGAAGGAAGCCCTGGTCTCCAACTCAGAGCAGTTCTCCGGGAGGCCCCTTACCCCATTCTTCCGAGACTTGTTTGGAGAAAAAGGTGAGTCTGCCCTTGCTGTGAGGGAGGGGAGGTGGGTGGCTGTACATCAGTGTACTCAAGAGGGCAAGCATTGTTAAGAACTGAACAGGCAGGGCTGTACCAGGAAAACATTCTCAAACCCTCCACGTGAAAGGAGATGTTAAAAAAGACTGGCCTAAAAGCACAAATCAGTCCCCCCTGACACACACACACACACACACACACACACACACACCCGCTTCCCAGCCTTGAATGAGTCAGTTCATAGTCCAATTTCCAGTGTACTCATCTTTAGGTGGGGAACTGCTCTTGCTTCTCCGGGTGTTGGAGAATAAGTCATCCAGAATACCTCAGAGGGCCCACATCTGTGCCAGCTCAGAAAGGGCCTTGTCCCTCCTGTCCTCCTTTTAGGCCCCTTTGTCTCCTTCCCCCTCCATTTCTGTGGGGACTTGATGCAGAATCAAACTGGAGTGCAAGGACAGACAGGTATCTGAGCCCACCCTAAGGACCCTAGACTCACTGACCACCACCCCACAATGGCCCTCTTCTCTTGGTCAGAGCAGCAGTTCAGAGCAGGTGGGGAAGGTTATTTGGCGGTCTGCTCTATAGGCCTGGTGGAGTTACCGAAGGGGTGGGGGTGGGGGCTGGTGGTCATCCTCTCTGTCCTTGCACTCAGGTGTTATCTGCAGCAATGGGCTTACATGGCGCCAACAGAGGCGCTTCTGTCTGACGACTCTTCGAGAGCTGGGCCTTGGCAAGCAGGCATTAGAGTTGCAGCTGCAGCATGAGGCAGCAGAGCTGGCCAAGGTGTTTCACCAGGAGCAGGGTGAGAGGAAGTGGGCCAGGGCAAGCCTGCCTTCCCTGTGCTCCTCCACACTCGTACACATCCCTACCGAGGAGTATAAACCTCTGTGTATGTGCGTGTGTGCGTGTGTGCGTGATGTCACTGAAACCTGGCAAAGTGCCAGTGGTTTTGACTAGGAGTTTCCTTAAGGTGAGTGGATACAGACATTAAAATGCCTAAGTAAGTGGAAAGCCTCAAGGCCCACTCTATAGTTCTGGATGCGTTCTCAATCAACACCTAGGGCCTTTTACATTCCTGCCTTGTGCACTGGTTTCTTTCCCTTCTTGCCTTTCATAGGCCCCAAGCCTTTCTTTTTCTGTGAGGAACTAATACTCATCCTTTTAGGCCTCAAAAGACCTGAAATTCTGGTGTTAAGAAGTCCTCAGCCGGCCGGGCGGTGGTGGCGCACGCCTTTAATCCCAGCACTTGGGAGGCAGAGGCAGGCGGATTTCTGAGTTCAAGAGTTCGAGGCTAGCCTGGTCTACAGAGTGAGTTCCAGGACAGCCAGGGCTACACAGAGAAACCCTGTCTCGAAAAAACAAACAAACAAAAAAAAGAAGTCCTCAGCCGAAGCCGGGCAGTGGTGGCGCACGCCTTTAATCCCAGCACTTGGGAGGCAGAGGCAGGTGGATTTCTGAGTTCGAGGCCAGCCTGGTCTACAGAGTGAGTTCCAGGACAGCCAGGGCTATACAGAGAAACCCTGTCTCGAAAAACCAAAAAAATAAATAAATAAATAAATAAATAAAAAATAAAAAAATAAAAATAAAAATTCTCCCCAACCCTAGGCACAGCTAGTTCTTCCCAGCAGCGATCTGCCTGCACCATGTTGTATCTAATCAGCTTCTCGTGCTTCTCACAGCATCTTTCCTAGAATGTGGCTCACAGGAGGTGTTGGGAAGCACCAGACAGGGGCTTGAATGAGGAACGAGAATGAATTAGGTAGAGGAGTGGCGGTGTCTGCGGCTGGATGATTCCTGAGACAGAGCTTTCTGTGCTTACTCATACTCAGCCCTCCCTCTCCTCACAGGGAGAGCCTTCGATCCTCGGGTCCCTATCATCCGATCCACGACGAGAATTATTGGGGCCCTGGTGTTTGGCCATCACTTCCTCTCTGAGGAGCCCATCTTCCTGGAGCTAATCCAAGCCATCAACCTTGGCCTAGCCTTTGTCAGCACGCTTTGGCGCCGGGTAATTGGCTCTTGGGTGGTGTGTAGGCCATGGGACTGTCTTCATCCAATTCAGACAGGAGCCTCCACCAGAGTCTGGCTGGAAGAGTAAAAAGTAGGCAGGAAGTGTGGCTGGGTCTGAGTCTGGATTTCTTAGGCTCACACGTCTGTCTAAAATTTTGGGCTCTCCACACAAAAAGCAGCCCCAACTTTCTTAAATCAGAGGCCCAGTCTGTTTTGGAGCCACTGGTACCTGTTCAGCTGTCATGACTCAGGACTGGTGCTGGAGCAAGCCCTGATTGCGCCATTCTCTCCACAGCTGTACGACATGTTTCCCTGGGCCCTCCGCTACCTCTCAGGACCCCACCAGAAGATATTTCAGTACCACGAGGCTGTGAGGGGCTTCATCCGCCATGAAATCATCAGGCACAAGCTCAGAACACCTGAGGCCCCCAAGGATTTCATCAACTGCTACCTGTCACAAATCACCAAGGTTAGTCTGGAGCACTCATTTCTTAGCCATGAGCCCTGTTTCTCATGTTTGCCTCATTCTGCAATCTTTTGGGCATCTTGAAACATGGGCTAAGAAAGGGTCTTTTCAGGCCAGAGCTAGTTTCTCTACAGATGGTGATGTTCATTTGAACAGACTACACCAGACCAAACGGTTCCGAGTCGAGTTTATTTAGGAGATAGGGCAAAGGTGGGGGTGGGGTGGGGGGGGAAGAGAAGAACAGGAAGAAGAGATTGAGGTGAAGTAAGGGGGTTCTGCCTATTTATATGAGTGGTGACATAGCCTCTCTCAGGTAAAGGTGGAAGGTAGCCAGGTGGATTCTGGGACTGTATGGCAGTTGCCTTGGCAATGATGTGGGGTCACCTAGATGTGATGTCACTGGGTTCAGAGCCTGATACCAACAGATGGTAGGATGGAAAGAAGAGGGTATAGCTTCAGGGGGGTAGAACTCTATAGCCATCCCCTATTGAAGCCAAGCCAATCCAGCCGGGGTGGTGGTGGCACACGCCTTTAATCCCAGCGCTTGGGAGGCAGAGGCAGGCGGATTTCTGAGTTCGAGGCCAGCCTGGTTTACGGAGTGAGTTCCAGGACAGCCAGGACTACACAGAGAAACCCTGTCTCGAAAAACCAAAAAAAAAAGAAAAAGAAAAGAAAAAAAAGAAAAAAGAAGCCAATCCAGTCCTGGGACTTGGGCCCTTCCCTGGGGGTCTCACACTCTAGAAAGCTCTGATCCTACAAGTCTTGGGACAAATCAGACCTTAGGAAGATACCAGGGCTGTGCCACAAGAAACCTTTAGAGCCAGAGCTGTTCTTTCCCTCCCCCTCACCAGGCCATGGATGACCCTGTCTCTACATTCAGTGAGGAGAACCTGATCCAAGTGGTGATTGACCTGTTTCTAGGAGGCACAGACACCACGGCCACCACACTGCACTGGGCACTCATATACCTGGTCCATTACAGAGCCATCCAGGGTATGGAATCCTCAGTTATATTTCTCCTCTCCTATGCCTAGCTTCTCCAGTCTGTAAGTCCCAAGGGGGTTTCAGGTACCGTGCACCCATCCTTCTGTTCTATGGGCATGGGAAAGAGCTCGTTCTTATCTCTGTGGCTCAGGGATCAGTGGCAGATTTGAGTCAGACAGGAGGGATTTCAGCTTCCAGCCTGTGACTTGCTAAATGACCTTAGGGAATCATTCTACCTTTCAGAACTGGTAGCCAGGGAGGGATGGCTTCACTCATTCACAATGACTCAGCACCTACTAAGTGCAAGGTCCTGGGTTAATGATAAGATCACAGTTGCGAGGAACAAAAGTATCTGAGGTTCTCAAAGGAACAAACTGGCTGCAATCAGTTCCAGTTCTGTGAGGGCAAAAGTACCTTCTCTGTAGAACCTTCATTTTCTCATAAGTCAAATGAAGACAGTAGTCCCTAGACTGTGAGACTCACATCTGGGTCTTTTCCCTCCAGGAGTGAGCCTTACACAGAAGCAAATTCTCCTGTGAAACAGCTGGTGGTGGGGTGGAGATATGACCTAGGGGTATGAACTTTAGCAGAGGTCTTTAGGTAGGAAACTGGACAGCAGTGTGCAGTGGGGAGGGGTTGTGTGGGGAGACTGGGCCACAGGCATCTTCCCCAGACCCTCACTGAACTATCTGCAGAGAGAGTGCAGCAGGAGCTGGATGAGGTGCTGGGCACTGCACAGGCCGTCTGCTATGAGGATCGAGAGCGACTGCCCTACACCCGTGCTGTCCTCCACGAGGTGCAGCGCCTTAGCAGTGTGGTGGCCGTGGGTGCTGTACGTCAGTGTGTGACTTCCACCTGGATGCATGGTTATTATGTGCCTAAGGTAAGTGGCCTGAAATAGGCCCATGCCAGCCCCAGCACCTGCAAAAGAACTCCTGCCCAGCATAGGCACTTGCTACCTATTCTGTCAACCTGAGCTGTCAACCTATAGCTGTCAGTCATTCAGTCAGTCACCTGTGGCATTAGAGGCAGTGGTTATGACAGAATACAGCCATTGATGGATAACGTTAAAGTTTCCTGTGGTTGGAGGCGTTTTTTTTTTTTTTTAAACACATACATTTCTTTTTTTTTTTAAGATTTATTTATTTATTTTATTTATGAGTACACTGTAGCTGTCTTCAGACACGCCAGAAGAGGGCATCCAATCTCATTACAAATGGTTGTTAGCCACCATGTGGTTGCTGGGATTTGAACTCAGGACCTTTGGAAGAGCAGTCAGCGCTCTTAACCGCTGAGCCATCTCTCCAGCCCGGTTGGAGGCGTTTTAAGAAACTTCTTTCTGCCGGGCAGTGGTGGCGCACACCTTTAATCCCAGCCCTTGGGAGGCAGAGGCAGGCAGATTTCTGAGTTCGAGGCCAGCCTAGTTTACAGAGAGAGTTCTAGGACACCCAGGACTATACAGAGAAACCTCGAAAAACCAAAAACCAAAAAAAGAAAAAAAAAAAAAAAGACAAGAAAAGAAACTTCTTTTCAGTGTTTATTGTCCACACATATTTCATGTAGTTCTATCATGTGGAGGGCCCTAGGTTTAATACCCAATATATAAAAGTAAACCAACAAATACAAGTTAGGCAAGTAGTACATCCCACAACACAGTCAAGGCTAGACTACATGAGAAAACCAAAACTAGGGGCTGGAGAGACGGCTCAGTGGTTAAGAGCACTTGATCTTGTTGTTGTTGTTTGTTTTTTGTTTATTGAGACAGGGTTTCTCTGTGTAGCCCTGGCTGTCCTAGAACTAACTATGTAGACCAGGCTGGCCTCGAACTCAGAAATCCACCTGCCTCTGCCTCCCAAGTGCTGGGATTAAAGGCTTGCGCTACCGCTACCACTGCCTGGCCTTGCACTGGTTTTCACCAAAGAAAAGTCAAGGCAGCAGGAGTCAGAGAGAATTGGTACATTTCATCCAGTCAGGAGCAGAGAGCAACCGTTAATGCACGTTAGTGCCCAGCCTGCTTTCTCTATGCTTACATAGGCCGAGGAAGTGACGCTATCCTTATCTATTGTGGGTAGGTCTTACTACCTCAATTAAGGTAATCAAAATAATCCCCCACAGCCAAGATCAAGGCCCATCTCCCAGGTGAGTCCAGATTTTGTTGAGTCAACACCATTTTAACAACTGAGGGACAGTAACAGCAATGGACTCACCACATGGATCCTCTTCAAGCTGTCTCTGCTCAGGTATTCTACATGTTGGTGAAATTCAAACTGCCATTTCCCAAGAACAAGCTAGAATAAAGTCCCCAAGAGACAGATGCTTCTGTAATCTGGGGGGAGGGGAAGCATGTTTAGCTTTTATGGATGAATATGGGATGTTCTGAATCTGCTCCATGAACTGAGATCCGTCTGTGCTTCCCAAGGCACCAGGTGTCATTTGGAGTGGGATACATGAGCAGCTGTAGCCTCTCTGCAAATGTCTCTTTATCTGAAGGGGATTATTAAGAATTGTTGAGCTGGCTTAGAGAGAGAGAACTCAGCTGTTAAAGGCTAAGGCTCACACTCAAAAGAACAAGAATTGATGATTTAGCTGAGGTGTGGCTTAGTGGTGGAGCACACGCTTACTACATGTAAGTGAAGCCCTGGGTTTATCCCCAACACCACAAAAAGTGGCAGGTGGGGCTGTCACAATGCATGTGGCTATTAATCTCAGGCCAAGATCCAAGGAAATTCTCTGCATTGTAATGGGAAAATGTGCAGCTTACTCAAGCACTAGCAGAAACACGTGCCTTTCCAACACCTCTATTTAAAGCCACAAAGTGACTATATCTGAGTGTCTTACTGGTCCAAGTGGCTCCAGCTTGGCCTGTCCCTTCAGCCCAGGTGGTTTAGCACCCTCAACAATGGCACACACCTACTGGAAGCCTTTGGGTCGGCTTCTGTTCTGCATTCTTCAGTTCTTGCTTGGGATGCAGACTTCAAACTCTTCAGAAGATTTTGAATTTTTTTTGGTTTTAAACGTAAAACTTTCTTTGTTGAAACCAAGAATCCTGCATTCAGTCTCCTGGATGCTATGGGATATTTGGCTCAATTCTATGGAATTGATAAACAGCTCATAGAGTAGGAATCCTGAAGTCTCAGACACCAGAATCCTGATGCTGAGTGTCCTAAGACCCAGGGCCATAACTAATCTTTATTCTTCTTTGCTTGGGCCTTTTTACTATCCTCCTTTTCCTCCTCCCACCCTCTCTCCCCGCTTCCTGTGCCAGGACTGCAGGGTTAAACTTAGGCCCTTGCATGATAGGCAAGTGCTGGACCACTGAGCTATATCCCTAGCTGCTAACAGTGTTTCTCCTTAGCCCTGGGTCCACATAGAAAGGAGAACAGTTTACTTGGGCTGAAGCCTTTCTCCCTTCCTGGTCCTACTTGCTTAGTGTGACTTTCTCATTCACTTGTGAGACAGAGTGGACACTGGGGTTAGAGTGGCAGGGTAGATAAGGGTTAGGAGTAGGGCTATGGTTAGTGGGAAGGTGAGGACATAGTTCATGGTCTCCTCCTACCCACTACTAACCAGTCAAGTGTCCATCTCTGGCTCTACATTTTCTGTCTTTCCAATGCTTGATCTTTCTTTCCCCCTTTCTATTCTCTCCATTCTTCCCTTCCCCCATTGTGGGCTGCCTTGAATTTAGAGGTATGAAACTCGGCTTCTTAATGGGTGTGAGCGTGGAGGAAGGGCCATTGAGGACCTGCCTGGGTCTTGGGCACTCCAGCTACATTCACCCATGTACTGGAGTTGCTTTAGCCCCAGGCCAAGGCTGGGTACCGAGCAGTCTGAGCCTCCTCAAATTACATCAGATCTTCTCTGCAGGGCACCATCATCTTGCCCAATCTGGCCTCTGTGCTGTACGACCCTGAGTGCTGGGAGACCCCTCATCAGTTCAACCCTGGCCACTTCCTAGACAAGGATGGAAACTTTGTAGCCAATGAGGCCTTCCTGCCCTTCTCTGCAGGTATCAGGAACAATGCTGGGCCCTGGAATGGTATATGGGGGAAGATTATTGGGACAGACAATCCCCTGTTTCCCTTTGACCTTTTCCTTTGCTTCCAGGGCATCGGGTGTGTCCTGGGGAACAGCTTGCTCGAATGGAGCTCTTCCTGATGTTTGCCACGCTCCTCAGGACCTTTCGGTTTCAACTACCAGAAGGGAGCCAGGGCCTCAGGCTGGAATATGTCTTTGGTGGTACACTGCAGCCTCAGTCCCAGAAGATTTGTGCAGTGCTTCGCCTGAGCAGCCTCAGCCCTAGGGAGCCCTAGGCCTGCTACTGCAGCCCCCAACACATAAGTTTCCTTCTGTCAGCCCAATCTGTGGCTATTAACTTAATATTTAGAAGGTAGTTTGATAACATGCCCATTTAGCACATTGACAGAAATAGGTTCCCATCAGGGCCCAAGACCTTGCAGCAATGGCATTAGATCATATTTGTGGTACAAGGCATGGACTTCCTCCAGTGGAACAGGCCTCAAACCTAATCTGAAAGTCATTGGCTTTCCTCATAAACTTCATATCATTATCGGCCCAGTGGGTAGGTCAATATTACTCACTCAGCACTCATCATGAGTAACAACTGTGATGACTTTTCTTCCCCAGCAGCCGGCATTGCATTTTCTTTTTCAGCATTGCATTTTTTTAGCATTATGAAAACCTACAGGAAGGAAGTTCCCAGATCACGCCCAGCTTGATTTCTCTGTCCTGTAACCACAGTCTGTCTTCATCACAGAATCTTGCTGGGCGGTGGTGGCGCACGCCTTTAATCCCAGCACTTGGGAGGCAGAGGCAGGTGGATTTCTGAGTTCCAGGCCATCCTGGTCTACAGAGTGAGTTCCAGGACAGCCAGAACTACACAGAGAAACACTGTCTCAAAAAAACAAAACAAAACAAAACAAAACAAAACAAAACAAAACAAAACGAATCTTACCATGTGGTTATGGTGACATGCCAAGAACAATGGCAATACGCTACACTGTTTGCGGGGCAGGGCTCCTACCCAGTAACTCAAAGGATGTAAACACACATAGCACTGAGATGTTCGTTTAATACCTTATGTCTTTTGTGAGGTACCTGTGTTCAAGCTCTTTTTTAAATTATAATTTTAAATTAGCTTCCAAAATAGTGGGTTTTTATAAGGTTTTGAGATGCTATTTTGTGGTAGTTTATGTACTTTTTATTTTTTATTTTTATTTTTTGTGACAGTTTTATTATGTAGACCAGACTAGCTTCAAAGTCTCAGAGATCTGTTTGCCTCTACTTCCCAAGTATTAGGATTAAAAACATGCACTACCATGCCTGGTTTAGTGTGTTTGTGTGTGTGTGTGTGTGTTCAGAACCAGAAGAGGGTATGAATCATTTGGAGAGCTGGAATTTCAGGCAGTTGTGAGTTACCCAACATGAATTTGAACTGGGAACTTCTGGAAATAAAGTTAGTACTCTTAACCCATGAGCCATTTCTCCAGCCTCCATTAAAAAAACAAAAACCCCCAAACAAAAACAACAACAAAAAAACCTTAATTTTTTTTTTTTTTTCGAGACAGGGTTTTTCTGTGTAGCCCTGGCTGTCCTGGAACTCACTCTGTAGACCAGGGTGGCCTCGAACTCAGAAATCCACTGCCTCTGCCTCCCAAGCGCTGGGATTAAAGGTGTGCGCCACCACCACCTGGCCAAGTTTTTTTTTTTTTTTTTTTTTTTTTGTAAAATAGGGCAGTGTTTTATTTTCCTTTACACCTTAATGAATACTTCTTGATGACTGCACATGGGGTAAGGCTGCGTGGTAGTTCACAAAGGTCACAGCGATGGTGTTTTCCTGACAGCATGTAGTCTTCCTAGTGAGTGGAATGACTTGTATGATGTCACTGTCAAACCAGCAAGACTGCATTTATGCACCCATCATTTTCAGGATTGTTGGTAACTTGGGCATACTTTCCCCAAATAACCTTGCCTCCTTGTGTCACAAGGCCCAACTCACTCACATTCACTTCAATAACTGCACCTTTGGTGATCACACCCAGGGTTGTATATAACGGGGATGATGGATTCTTTTTCACACCGAGTATAGGTAGGCAAAAAGTAGCCTTCAGCTCAGGGTGTGTGACATGGGCGTTTTTGAAATGTAGACCCACTGGCCTAATGAACCTTTCGTATTTAGGTGGTTTTCTTGTAAAACCATCATCAACAAAGCCAACTTTAGTAACCATTCTCTTCCATGCCTTTTTTCTTTTTCCTGTTTGAATAACTTTCAATACTTCCGTTTCTCCTTGGGCACGAACTTTGGGTACAGGAACCTCCCATTTTCCCGCCTTTTGTTTTCGTTTCTGCTTAATCATGTTAGAAAGTACTTTTGCTCTCCACTGCCCCTCTCTGTCCAGCAGACAGGCAGGCACTGCTCCTTGTGGAGTTTTCTCATCATCCTTCTGCTTGGTGTTTCTCTTTTCATGCATCTTAATAGTCTTTTTCATTTGTATTTTCTCGGCATGGCGCTGTTTATGGTAGGGCTTAGCCTTCAGGCCAATCATTTTTTTTTTTTTGCCTTCTTTGAATGGGCCTCCCGACCTTCTTTCTTTCTCTTTTACTCATGGTAGTCCAAACGATACCCATATCGTTTGCGGTGCAATTCAATATATTCATTTTGTGGCATGTTGACAGCCATGGAGCAGCTGTCCGCGAGATCCTGGGTTTTAAAAACCTCTTAATTTCTGGGTGTCACTGGCCCACGAGCCTGGTTCGGTCAAGCCGGAACGGGAAAGGGTAGTCCTTTAAACCAAGTTTTTTTTTTTTTTTTAAAAGCCTTTACTACCAGCACTTGGGAGGCAGATGCAGATGGATCTCTGTGAGATTAAGGCCAACCTGCTCTACAGAGTGAGTTCTAGGACAGCCTGGACTATACAGCAAAACCTTGTCTCAAAACCAAACCAAACCAAACCTAAAAGAAAAAAAATAATGAAACACTGATAGCACTTCATGGATGGGAAGAAAAAAAAAAGCAAGTGGGTGGACTAGGTTGATACAGAAAAAATGAAGGAGAGAAAGTAAATAGGAGGTAACAGTGGGGACAAAGTGGGTAGTGAAGTCATGGCTAAAGATAGAATGAAGGGAGGTAAAGCAATGCAACCAAATAGCCTAAAACAAGCCAAACTCTCTGCAGACTCTGTGATATCAGGCAAAAACATGAGAAGGAAAATCAAAACAGACAGAAGGGGTTAGGGAATGAGGTAGAGAAGCTACAAGAATGGAGCAGGTCAGAGTTGGCATGCTCAAATAACATTGGGTAGTAATAAAGGAGTAAGAAGTGAAGGGGGCGGTGGAGATACACATGATGGACACAGGCGGGTCCACACTGGTTCTGGTCTTAGTTGGCTCAGTCCATCCATCTCTATGTTGGCCCATTCAGCCTAGAGTGACTTTGGGAACATGGACAGTAAGAAACAATTGTGTATTTAATCTATGAATGAAAACATAGAGCAACACAGAGCTGGTATCCCTTAGTAACCAAACTCCTCTGCATTCCATATCTAGAAGCTACAATGACTGGGGTCCCTTAAGCATCTTCACTGTGCTGCCACCCACAATTCTACAGTGTGTTCTGACTTGTTTTGAAAAAGTGTTTTACAGTCTGTATAGGCCTTTATTCATTCTTGAAGCCTGGCAACACCCAGCTCAGACCTTTACCACCAGTAACAGAAGAGTTTCTGAGGGACCCCCACCCCCACCCTATCATCCCTTTCCCTTTTGAAATAAATGAGATGACAGAGTAGTCCTGGAGGTGCTTCTGATAGACTCCAATCCAATAATATAAACCAAGGATCATAAAGTTGCAGAGGGAGTTAAAAAGTCTCTTTTACTATAAATGAGGTTTCTTGTGAGTTCTAGAAAATTGCAGATTTATAGCTAGGAAAGGAAACATGCCATGCTTAGGCATTAAACATGATTCACTGCTACTGTAACATTCTTATTTGAAACATCCCTATAGAAAGGGAACATTGTTCTCAAAGCAAATGTTAATTGTGCTGGGACACTTGACTTTCAGTTGGCTAGAGGTTAACCAGACTTAGGTGTAGGAGACCCTTCTCTCTTCCCTTGCTTAACTTTCTCGTGCGTGCCTGGTCTTTCTATCCTGGCTCCATGTAACCAGCAGGAGTGAGAACAGAGACACTTGTGGCCCTGTCTTTGGCTATCAAAATGAAATAATTCACCCTAAGAAAATGGAACCTCCCCAGAAATTTCATTCTGGAAGAAAAAACCCTGAGTTTCTGGGGGCACCCAGAAACTACAGAAAGATTTGCAGCTTGTCATGGGGGCAGACCTGGAGAAGGAAGCTGGATCAGGGTGACGGGTGAGGGGACACAGTTTCCTTATACTGCACACCTCTTGCCTTCTATTTAAGCCTCATCCTATGTTAGACCCTGAAGATGAACGTGGGGAGTCACTGGATCTCTTCCTCTCAGTGTGGCCTCATTGAGTAAAACTTTTTCTGCTTTTCACAATCAGACAGGTGAGGTTGCCAGTGTACAGGGCCATTTCACCTTTATGAGACTAAGAAGCACTGTGAAACGGTGTCTTGTGGTTAAATGTGATAACCTGAGGGTGTCTGATAACGCAGCGTTACTCAAAGCCTCAAGTTTTCCCCAGCCACTCTCACCGGAGGTTTCCACGCTGCCGCTGGTCTGAGGGAAGACCGGAACTGGTTCGGCCTCCAGGTGGCGCTCTAGGCCGCTCCTCCGCGCTCTGTGTTCTTCCTTCGCCCCGGAAGTGATTTCCTGGCCGAGGTTAGTGAGGTCGGGCCATGGTGGGGCAGAGGTTGGGAAGATGGCGGTGGGAGGTTGGGTACAGCGAGGCTGGCGCTGCGGCCAGGCTTGGGCGCCTCTCTTGGGTGGAGGCTACCGGGAGCTATCTGCGACCCAGGCCCCGCGGCTGCTCGGACGCAGGTAATGGCCGCCGCTTCCGGCTTCCTGGTTCTCCCTTGAGCTGAGGTCGTGCGCATCCTCGGGAGGAGGTAGCCGCCTAGGACTCCGGCTCTCCATTGTTTACGAGGTCTTCCCTAAAGCTGCCTGCCCCCGCCGCCCTTTTCCTTAGTCTTCCTTTCCCCTTTGGCTTCTAGGTGCGGAACCGCGAGCGGTGTCTGGCCGAGCCCGGCAGTAATTGCTTGGGAAGTGATGGAAAAAGGGAGCTAGCTTCTGAGCGTTAAATACATGTCCGGTTCATATTCTTGAAAGGACTGACCCCGGTTTTAGTAAAGCAGTTTGCAGACCTGGTAGAGTATCTT